AAAATAAATAAATTTTTTGTTTGTAATATAATATTATATATAATTATTAAATTTGAAATACTTTTTGGTAATTACATATTCAGTTTAGGACTTTTCTTAAATGCACAGTGACTTTCTGGGCTAAATAAAACAATCTATGTTGGGATATACTGACTTGCTGTGTCAAATAAAACAAGCCATGTTGGAATTTAAGAAAAAAATTTGGGACATAATAAATAAAAAAATATATGAATAAATAAATCAAAAAATATGACAATCCATAAAAATTGCTATAATAATATGGCTTATAATTTAACTAACCTGCTAAATATATATAACAGCAAGTCAAGGTCTTATATGATTATCAATTTCTAATATTAAATACTTTAAACTGAAATTGTGATAAAATAAGTTAAATTTTTCTTGTGATTAAACAATTCTATATGTGATTCTTTTCATAAATATATTCTTAGGTCAAAGTCAATATCTTCTGTGGTAGTCACAAAACAAACTTCTGCAATAACATATTTTAAAGTTCAATAGGCGTACGTTTCGTATCTGTCTGTCTTTCTATAGAGATCTGAACTCCCAGTGGAGCACAATACTGCAATTATAATTTATTTTTTATATATTGTAATAGAGCTAATATATAACCGAACTGATGGCAACTAACCTTCGAATAATGTTCAGAATATCTCTCGTCTAGAATATAAGTGTTAGTAAAAGTGGTAGGCTAGGTTAAGTTGAGAGTAAGTAAAAGTCAGAATTTTTTTACCCCAGAATTTAAGTAAAAGTGATAGGTTAGGTTAGGATGAAAATGAATTAAGATCTAAATGTCTCTCGTCGGGAATTTATGTGTTAATAGAACTGTTAGGTTAAGTTAGGTTAATTCGAGAAGTAAGTATTAGTAAAATTGATAAATTATGTGTGAATTATGAGGAGAGAGTAAGAAATGAATCAAAGTTAGAAATGTAAATAAGAAATAAATAGAAATTGTAAATTGGATTATAATAAAAAAAAAAAAATGATATTTTATTAATTCATGTCACTGTGCAATATTTAAAAAAATTATTTTCTTAACAAAAAAGTTTTAATTTTTTATTCGTTGAGAAATTAACCTGCCAAGATTTAAAAATATAAAGCATTATAAAATTTATTTACAAGAAAATGATTTACTATAAAATAAAATGGAGTTTCAGTAATTAGACAGAAAAGTTATATCAATTTAATAGCTATGTAAACAAGAACTTGAAATCATATATAGAGGAATTGCAAGAAAAAAAATTATAAAAAAAATCCATAGATAAACGTATTTAAAAAAAAAATTATTGTACTATTAATAAAATCAAAGAGGAAAAATAAAATAATTATAAAAATTTCTTAAATTTTGTATTTCATGTGAAAATTTGTGTATAAGTATGGCCACAACCGTCTTTCTTCAATAATATTTCTTTAATATTATTTTAAAAAGATTTCCAAACTTTAAAATTTTTGTTTTTTTTCATTTAAGTTAATAGATTTAGTAAGTTTGAATGATTGTTTTATTATTGATTGTTGGGACTACTATATTTTTTAGTTGCTATTTAAAATTTTCCTTTTTTAGTTAGTTTTATGTGTTAATTAATTTTAATTTCATTTATTTCCAATGCATACATTTAGGCGTTTTATATATTTGTTGCTTGCTCTTACACTCTTCTTTGGTTGTTTGAAAGTTTTTTTTATAAAGTATACACAATTAATGTGTTAGAATAAAGAATATTTTGTTTTTTTTTTTTTAACTGAAATTATACTCACATATATAATAATTGCAGAGCCACAATGCCATAAAATATCTCGAGATTATACATAAATATATCACTGCTTTGTGAATAATAAAAGTTCTGTCATAATAACACTGGGTCCTTTCCTCGAAGTTGTGACGCCATTCTTTTCAGAAATGAATTGTTTAAATATCCTTGGTATAATATGTATTTATATTATAGTATATTCTCAGGACTCAGTATAGAAACCCTAGTTTTGATATTGATTTAGTTTAACTTTCTTTATATTTATATATATTTTCTACATTTATTTTTGATAGAGGTGTCAAAATTTTGGCAGCCAACTTTTAATATTTTTGATAAAAGTTTTTCTAAAACACTGCAGCTCTGCAGGTATTACTGTAAGCATTACTCCTTTAAAGTTACTCTTATATATAAGAATTTTTTGTACAAAATCATAACACTTAAAGACTTCAAAATTTAATTAATTGATGTAAATACAGATAATAAAATTAATTCAAAATTTAAACAGAATATATAAAATAACAATAATAAAAAATTAACTCAGAATTGTGGAAAAATGTAAATAATAGAATTATTAAATTTTTTTAATATTTACTTTGTGATTAATTCTGCTAATAGAAATAAATTAGTAAATATAATTAGTAAATATACATATATGTTTAAATTATTTTAAAAACATTTGACTGTATAATTTTATTTTAAATAGCATTTTTTTTTTACAATTCAATTTTATTTATGATACATATTAATTCATTTATTTATTTAAGATAAAGCATATTTTTGTATGCTTTATCTTAATCATTTATGGCATTTATATTAATTACTTTTTATTTATTTATATATTAATTTCATTAATTTTATTATTTTAAACTATTTACTTAAATTAATAGCATATAATATGCAAAATTATTCGTTTAATTTGACAGTTCACATATAATTAAGTGCCAGTTTTTTATCTCATATTTATTTCATAGGCATTTAGTTCGTTTAATAACATTTTTGTTTTTGTTATATAAATAAATTTTACTTATCTACAATAGCTGCCATATCCATGAGAATTGTTACAATTTAATTGAATAAATTTTTAAAAAATTTTTCATAAGCATTATTTATTGTTTTTATTAAAAAAAGCATAGAAATGATTAAAATTAATCTTTATACTTAAACTAAAAATAATCAATAAACAAAAAAAAAAATAAATAAAAATATTTGAAAAATCTCTAAATAAGAATACTGATATTGTCAACTGGGATGCAACGCACTTTAGTATATGTGAATACTTATAGAAGAAATATTCGAGCAATTGGTAATGGAAAAGTAGGGAACTAATCCATAAGTGCATTCATAACCTGCCCATAATTCGAATACCTGTTCACTTTAAAAGTGCTCTCACCTATAGTTAGAGAGCACAAGAACTGTTTGAAAGTACTTTATTATCAATCAATTAAACTTACTTCATTATAAAAAATCAATTAAACTTTATAAATAAATCATTCTAATAATAATTTATAAACTATTTATATTATTAAAATTTAAATTTATAATGAATCTTTCAAATTAGAACTATTGCATGTTGTAAAAAATATATCAATTTCATATTATAATGGATAATAATTACTTGTAAAGCATAGCACTGTTACTATAGAACGTCTCAAGTGATTTACCTATAGTAGTTTTTTCAGGTTCTGTTTGAAGGGGCTGATAAAAGTCCCAAAATAACTTTCAATGAATATCAGAATATAATTTTTAAGAAATTGTTAATATTGCGCCCCAGTAATATATTCTTGTCACAGATTGCAATCGTACTAGAAAACATATGAGTCTAAATAAGTCCAACACAACTTGACAAGTCGCTTCGATAAAGTTTATTGCTGAAATGGTTTTTATAAAATTTGAAATTAAATAAAATGAAATAAATATCCATTACCAATTAATTAAATGAAGAAAGCAAAAATAATAACATTTCACTTTATCTTTATGTACTCCTAGTCCACCTGTAAAACCCACACGTTTGTCTGATTAATTGAATTTCTTAAGAAATATGAAAGGTGCTTTCATCTAACAAAAATTTTTACAGGTTGAAGTTCATTGACCAATTCATTATAAAAATTTCTCAAATATTTTGCAAACGAAATGAATTTTTTATTTAATTTAAATTTATTACTAATGAAATCAAAAAACAACTTCATTTTTCAATGTACAAAGATTTGAACATATAGATTTAAATAGAATTAAAATTAATTAAATAGCAAATAAAAATTTAGCATTAAAAACTCATGTAATATTATCAAATAAAATTATTAACAAAAAAAATTTTAAAAAAATTAATAAAAAAAAATTTCAAAAATATTTTACCAAAAGTGAAAAAAGTTTTATCTTGTCAGAGCAGTCAAAATGAATAATTATATATATAAATACGATATATACTAATGATTTATTTAAATACAAAATTAAAATATTTTTATACAAAGGAGAAATATTATTTATTTTACAAAAAATAAAATAAAAAATAAATTGTTTTATATTACAAATATATACAAATTATATTTGTTATAATAAAAAGAAATTAATTTTTACTTATTTAATCTAATTTAATTAATGAAAATAACTCAAATATTTAATTTAATTATTAACAAAATTTTTAAAATTTATTTATAGTTTTTTCATTTTAGTCTTTATTTTTTGTTAAATATTAATATATTATATATATATTTGGTATATATATATATGTATATATTTCCTTTGCATAAATCCTATATTAAATAATTAATTAATAGTATGTATATATATATATATGTATATATATTTTGTATTTTCATTAATAATTAATAATAATAAACACTTTTTGTATTGTTTTACACTGAAATATTTTAAAATAAGTTTCGCCTTTCATTCATATATTTATTTGGAAACATTCATCTCTGTGATTATATTGGTTTCAATTTAATTTGAGTCTATTTATTATTAATATTTTAATGCATATATATCTTTATGTATTTTTTTTTTAATTTGTTTGTTCACATTTATTGTTTTATAGTTTAATTATTTTATTTTCATTTAATATCTGGCGAAACGTTAACGTTTTTCATAACTTCATTTGTTGATTTGTTTTGTTTGGCTTTTTTTTTGTTTTTATTTATCATTTAATAATTATAAATAAATTTAGTCATAATAATAATTTAAAACTTTAATAATAATAATTGTAATATAATATGTCTCATATAATAGTTATTTTAATATTAGTTTAACTCATTAAGTACATACATGTTCTACACACTTTTATATCTTAACTCTGCTCCATCATCTCTTGACACTTTTTACAGTTTTTGATTTAGCACCACCTGTCCTAGGGATTACGTGGTGGATTCAGTTTGGTTGCATATATTATATAGTGGTTAGTTTTTCCTTTTTGGTTTATATTAATGGATTAGTAGGGGGGTGTCTCCAGCTTTGGTTTGATGATTTTTTTTTTTGGTTTTAAGAGACAGTCTATTCAGCTATTCAGCATTTAACGTCCGCGCGCCCATCGAAGTAGCGCATCAGCTAACACATCTAAATGAGCTTTCGTCTAAAATAAAGAATAAAAAATAAAAATTATAAATAAATTTTGAATATAATGGATATATAATATATATATATAGTAACAAGAACTGTAACAAGAAAGAGAGAATTCTATTCTTCTATCTACACGAGGGCTATGGCTATAATTACTACACTAAATAGAAATAAATGGATCAAAAAGGAAAATAATTTGTATGACAAAATAGATAGACTTGACAAACAATACAAAAGCCTTTCTTTACCGACTTTTGTTGCTGAGAGGACAGAAACCCTAAATGAAGAACACTTCTGATATAATGGATAAAATCCATGATCTAGAGCAAAAATATTAACACCAAAAAATGCTTTACTAACTTTTATAGTACTAGTCTGAGCTCATAACTTTTAATATTGGTTAAAGCTGCTAAGGTAGATATTTTTGTTCAGTTTCTTTAGTTTTCAATTAATTTATACAATTTATCTTAGGAAGGTAAATAAGCGGCTAAAGTGAATAATCAGTTGAAGGTGATTTCAGTTTTTAATAAGGCCATCAAATTTATTTTTAAAATTTAGACAGATTTTGTAATAAGTTGCTAACTTGGATTAAGCGGCTAGGATACTAAAAAAAAAAGAAGTCATATATTTTTCAGTAGACTTTTTCAACTTTTACTACTGTAGTATATATTCGGCTATCTAAGGCTAACACTAAATTATAGTATTATGTGTACAGTACAAAGAATCGTTGTGGTAGATATAAGAACTACGCTGTAGTACTGTATTGTCACTGTAATTGCATAATCACCTATCGAAGTTAGGAATTAATCTAACACAGACTACAGATACATAAAGAGAAGAGAGATAAACTGCATATCATGTGGTTAGAGAGTGCCCGGCACTGCTCCACAAACGGAAGGAAGAAACACCTAGAAAGGTATTTTACGATTCATAAGGATCCAAAACGAGAGAAGATAGGCTTTATACTGTCTTTTATTAAAGAAATCAGACTTGGAGAAACACTCTAATACAATTGAATTAAAAAACAAAAATGTTTGTATTGTATTCACACCAGAGTTTTGAAAATTTTTTAATTGTCATTTGAAATCAACAAATCAATCTGAATGAATATCGACAGGACTTATCATTCAAATTTGATTGTTAGATTTATCACATATGCACACTTTTTAATTACTTTTATAAAATATTTATTTTGCACATATGATATAAGCATATGATAAATAAAAAGTTTGTTTCATTTTATATGAAAATTTCATTCATTCCTCAAAACTATTCACAATAGCACAAGCTTGTATTGTACAATACTGTGATTGTATACGGTGATTGGTTCACCGTAGTCGAATCTAAAATCAATTTGATTTTGTAAAAATTGCGAATAAATTCTACTTTCAACTTTCGAAAGAATAATTTAAAATTACAGCAAAAATTGCAACTAAAAGTTTTGTATTAATCCAATATAACTCTAAAATAATTCTCAACTAATTGTTATCAATGTTTTCACTTTTTCTAGAACATCTGAATACATATTCTATAACAAATTTCATGAAAATTTTTTTTTAACTTACCGTTTTATAGAACATACACGATCTTCTATCTTCATCTTCACCTTCGGGACAATCAATAAAACCATCACACAGCACATGATCGTCTATGCAACGATATCGTCCTTGCAAATCCGGTGTCGGACATGCAAAACGTTCCATGCCATCCATTGCGGTGGGACATTCTACAAAGAAAAAGACAAAACAGAAGAAAAACAAAATTAATTCACAATAAATATACAAACATAATAATAATAAAATTGTCTGTTGTGTATATATAAAAATAATTGATTTTAAATTAAAAATATTATTATAATATATATTATGTATAACGAACGAATGAAGAACTCCTTCAGTTCTGGCGCTCAATGCCAAAGCTGAATTCTATACGAACTCAAGTAAACAAGCGAAAAGGAAAGAATTTATTGTATTTTAATTGGTAATTTACATGCAACGTACAAAAATTCCAATAAGAACAACGCCATTCATAAAAATGAGCGTGTGCAACCTGTCGCATATATCCTGTCATTGTCCTTTTGACGTCAGCACTTAATTTGCTCGTATTGTGAAATTGAGCGCAGAGCTAAGCTAGTTTATGGCATTTTAATTTATAGCTTTTTCACTATATTTGTTGTTGTTTTTTTTTTTACTCTATTTTTCTATATATATTGTATATTTTGGTATTGTCTTAATTGTTGTTGTTGTTGCTATCGTTATTGTTGTTGTAATTGTTATAGAATTACAACAGTATTTCATACTACAAAATAGTTTAATTGTTGTTTGTATTTTGTATTTTTCTTTGGTTTTTTATTTAACAACAAAATAAATTGTACACATGAATAGATAAAAATAGTACGAATAAATAAATATTCATTCGATATCTCCTTAATCGTTAATCCTCCATAGACGCATTGATGGCCATATTAAGATTACACTTCAATTTAAGCTCTTTAACTAGTAATTATTACTATTTTAATACTTTCTAAGTTCGAAATACTGTAATTTATTCAACATTTATTAACAAAATAAAAAGTTAACTACTGATTTTATATGCACAGTTCTATATATAATATAATAGATTATTAAAATGACTAGTAAGGACTACAAATATGCGCACTTATTTTTATTCAAAGTATATTTTCGCAGTGGTATGAGTTTCATCAAATAAAATTAGATCCATATTAATACAGTAATGTACCGTACCTGGTGACCCAATTGAACTACAACTAACTTCTTACTGCTGTAAATTCCGAACTGATGACAATACGGCATTTTTACCTCATCTAACGTGAGCTCATTCATATTTACCATATCAGAAGGATTTTCATGCCAGTTTTTGGATTAAAAATTTTTGTTTAAATATATAAACACAAAATGCTTGTTAGCAAGAAAATCACAATTGAATTTTGTAAGTACAATTTAATATTCCGATTTGAATAAATCATTTCTACCTCGAGTCAAACCATATGACAAATTATGTTATATGTCATATGACATATGACGAAGAATATAGCAGTTTCTTTGTTATGGTAGTGGTAGGTATAAAATTGCATATTTCTTCTCCTCAAAAAGTATTCGGATTTTGTAAATAAAAAACACAAATTTAAATTTTATTCCAAATTTATTTTATCTCCTTCACAATATGCTCCTTCTGAACTGATACACATACGCCAACGCTTAACCCAATCTTCCATACACTTTTCGTAGGCCCGTGCAGGTGTAACTTTTAGTCTCCTCAGCGAATTCTCTTTTACCGATTCAATCGACTCAAAACGCCGCTTACCACAAAGGAACAATTTGAGTTTCGGGAACAGAAAAAAGTCGCACGGATCCAGATCTGGCAAATATGCTGCCTGAGCGAACAGTGGTGCCGTGTTTGGTCAAAAAGTCGCGTACAATAAGAATTTACCATAGTAAAAATCGCTAAATACACTTAAGGTAGTCTCAGATTAACAGCTGTTGTAAAAAAACTAATTGACAGATGGCGCTCAAATTTGTACCATATGTCAAGAAAGGGTGTAACAATATAACAAAAAAAAAACAAACAAGCATACAACAAAATCCGGATACTTTTTGAGCAGATATTACATATACAACTGCAATGGATCGAAACAGAAAAATGGAACAGTCTAATCTAGCAAGGCTTGACTAGACTTGAAATAAACAATGTTCTAGACCAAATCATCTTAGATTAGCTGAAAAACAGTTTCAATTTCATATTGTGGGTAGGAGGACAAACATATTAGAACTAACCGGACGCATTGATAATACACAAGTATCTGGCGAATACCAATGTTCAAATGTTAAAAATATCACCGAGTGTATTGAAAAATGGGGCGTCCAATAGCTTAAGCCTTGTTTGGAGAAACCACGGTCAGTGTAGTATACCGTATTTGTTTATTTGTTTTCAAAATAAACAAATACTATAGTATTTTTATTTCAAAAAAATACTTTTAAAAATTACTTTTCAAGAAAATCTTTGTGTTTCCACATTGTGGGTAGACGGAAGGACATATCAGAATCAGTGGACGCTTTGATAATATACAAGTATCCGGCCAATACTAATGTTGGAAATATTGCTGAGTGTGTTAATGAATGAGAGTCGCAAGGTTTAAGCGTTCTTCTGAACAAACCACAGTCAGTTAAACATATTCACTATGTTACTGTATTAAACATCATTATTCACTCTTGTACTAAATTGAGCCTCTATATATGCCATCAACGTTTCCAAAAAAAAAAAATGAAACCAATATTCACTCTAAATGATGCCTCAATAAAAGTGTAATTCAATTTTAAAATCAAAGTGATCAATAAAATCAACAAGCAAAACGACAAAATGACAAAAGGACAAAACAGCAAAATACCATAAAGCAAAGAGCAAACAAATGAACATAAAAGAAATAATAAAAAATCGAAATGAAAATTTGTGAAATTATCTGAGGAAGAAAAAGTAGACAACTACTGAAAATAGAAGCAGTAAAAGGACAGGCGATGGAATCTCAAAACCGTACCCAAAAAACAAAACAAAAAAAAATTTAATTCTATAAAATCTATAGAGAGTAAAAAAAAATTTTCCTTTTTTTAGTTGAAACTAAAACTACACAAACAAAATTACTATATTCAACACAACTCAACCGAACTGAGCTGAACTGAGTTGAACTGAACAAAACCGGAGGCGCCAATATGTCCTACAAGTGATTTATTTTTATGTATTTGTGTTGGAGAAATTGTTGTGCTAAAAACGACGGTGGAATAGAATCGCTCAAAAGTAAAATTGAAGTTTATCCAAAGCATAGAAGTATAACTTTTATATATATATATATGTGTATATATATTTATATATGTACGTGCATATATGTGATTTTGTGGAAGTATGGCTTTGCATAGTAAACTATACTACATAGAGTGTAACAACACACACTGTGGGAATGTTAGCAAACTACATACCAAAATTACACTAAAAATAGTTATTTAAGTTTAAATATATATACCACCCCCATACCACCTATGTCAATAATATGTCACACTTATGCAAGTAAATGCAAACACACTCGCACTCATACTCACACTCATACTCATACTCACACTCATACTCACACTCATACTCATACTCATACTCATACTCACGCTCATACTCATAGTCATACTCCTATTAGGAGTATGTAAAGCCAGTTATATACAAGCAATTACACAGTCAAATAAAGTAAATTTTGCCTGTTCTATGCTGTGTGAACAAGTATAAAGCAGAGTACTGTGAAGTCAACGAAATCCAACTATAAAATCAGAGTGAAGTCTGTGTGTAGAATGGAGGACACACGTAGCATAGTTTTAGGTGTGCTATGTACACTAAACATAATGAGTGCGGAAAAAAAACTTATATAAGCAAATATAGCAGCGAGGCGATATAAATAAACATGTTTGACTCGTAAATATGTTTACTTCTATTTGCACAGGTTGGTTTTTTTTTTTTTGTTTTTTAAATAGAATTCTAGCGTTTGCAGACATTTGAATTTTATGTTTGAATGGATTTGCGACTAGCGATTTATGCGCTTTGGCGTGTCGCAAAACAGCTCGCACTCTACTTAACCTGTGTGGCTCGTGCTGTATGGTATGCTATCCATGATATGTCCATGGTATATATGCCTGGTACATGCATGGCTATGCAGCAAACAACCATGCAACCAGGCAAGCGTAAGTTAGCTTGTTTTACTTTTAAATGCCAACATTCGTAAATGCTTTTCATATGTAAGTGACCAAAATCATTTGGCTTGTGTACATGGCATGCGTGGCATGGATGCATGATTGTTGATAAAACTTATTTTATTTCAACAAAAAACAATATTAAAAATAAGTATTGAATGAAATGAATAAACAAGAGAAATATCACGAAAGAGAATTTAAAAGGTGGTATCGAATTAAGTTGCAATATTTTTTCTTTAAAATTGTTCTTGTAAACACGCACACTGCATACTTCGTTAACCTTAGTGCAGTAGTTCAGTGTTTTTTGCTTTTATTTTGATAAGTATTTAGTGTAAATGCAGTTGATTTCTTTTATTTATTTCAATCAGTTGCATGAAAATTCAATTTCAAAAGCGGTTTAAGTAAGATTTAAATGCAATCGAAGTCAGGTATGAAATAGGTTTAAAGGATTTTTCTTATTACGGATTTGATTTTTATAAATTTCTAGATATACACTTACATTCGAGTTTATTTTGTGCATATTGTACAACTACAGATTTTTTAGCACAACTATATAACTATATAACTTTTATATTTATTAAAGAAAGAAGAAAACAATTTATTTTGAAAACACTCATACGATTTGTTGTAAATATATATATATATACTTAAAGGTATTTACAGAAAATTTAACATGAACTAAATTCTAGTTTTATTTATTTACTATTGAATTGAAACGTTTTTTATAAAATTATATCTTTTTAGCTATTTTCTTACCATGAAAATTATAGTGAAAATAATATTTATAAGAATAATTTACAAATAATATTAATTAATAAAAATATTAACTCTAGAATAGTAGACCTGACTACAATTATTTACACATTAATTATTATTTTAATAAAAAAAAAATTAGTTAACAACACTCATACGCACTGTTGTGCAAAAAATATACTACAGACTCTTTGGAGAAAATTTTATATAAACATTTTAATACAAAGATTTTTTATACTTTCTTGTGCGGTACGCAGATCTTAGATCAATCATTGAATAATCACGACGATTATCAGGAATACTCAAATTAGTCAGTGAGATCGGCGGGTCTCTTCAGAATTCCCCCAGCTATCATAGAGTAAAAGAGCCCAGCTGCACTAACTCGGAAAAGGCTTAACTTACTCTAACTAACTCTAACTGTTTCTTCGAAATCTTCGAATATTAAAATATAACTAGTTTTGATATATAGTTAGTATGAATCCCGAATAATTATTAATGCACATTTATATTGAGTTATATAATAACATTTTTCGATTTTTTGTCACTAGATGGCCTATACGCATCTAGTCTATTGTTTCGCTTAAACGAAACAATTAAGGAAAAGCAACCAAAATTGACCAATGAAAAAGGAGTTGTGTTTCAATGTCAGGCCACATATATTTCTTATGACATGTTTGAGGAAATGGCCGAAATTTGAATGAAAAGATTTGATGCATCCATAGTATAAACTAAATCTTACTCTCTCTGACTATTGTTTCTGTCTCTGCAAAACTATTTTAATACTGAACCACTGAAAATCACTTTGGCTAATTTTTTGCATAATAAACCACAAAAGTTCTAAACCGTTGGAATTCTGAAGTTACCCCAAAAAATATTTTAGCTCCTCTATTCAGTTACATCACGAGTGTGATTTCATATAAAAATATATAGAATTAAAAAAAGAAATTACACATATGTATTATTTAGAAGGTTTGAGATACTGCATTACGCACTTATTGTCCAACAATGCATTAGCAGAAATTACAGAAAATTTCTTTTCATATAATATAGTTGAGTTCTTTATTTTTGGCAAAAGAATCTTGAATAGTTTTGCGTGGGTTTCATATATTCACTGTAACTTTTGTGATACATACATATATATATATAAATATATATATACACAGTTAGAAGCACATAAATTTATTTTAAGTTTGTAACTTTTACAATTCTTGATGGGATATGCATGTGCAACCCACATTTTGTCCTTTGAACCAACATTAACACAAATAAAGTTTTTACTTAGTAATGTCAAAATATATCCTTATATCCTAACAAATTGCTTTGCTGGTCAAAAGTGGAGTTCCTTGCAT